AAAAAAAAAATTTATGATAAAGATTAGATAAAAGATTGAATAGAAGGAAGAAATTAGAGGCAAACAAACAACAAAAAAAAAAAAACACAAAAACCACAAAAGAGTTGTATTAAAAACTTCTTCAAAAATCTTGGCTTAAATATCGCCAAAAACATTCAGAAGAAATGAATCAGATTCTAGTATAATATTTGAAAATACAAACAGTTTATTTTTTATAAATAAAAGGTGAAAGTTTTTTAAGTTGAAAAGTAAATTTTTGAAAGGACAAAAAAACGCACCGACACACCGACACACAAACACACAGACCAAGCCAACACTCTTTTCTGTTCAATAAATATGCTGCCTTAGACTGGCCTAAATAGTTATTTTTTAGTGATAAAACAAAGGTAACAAAATTTTGGTTGAGAAATTTCAATTCTTTTGTTCAAATCTGTTACAAACAATGAAAACAATCTGTCTAGCGTAAACTTGCTTACTAGATAAACGCTTAACTAGCTAGCCAGATTATCAGTTGTACTCCAGAACTTTAATCAATTCAAAGAGCTAACAAATAAAAAACAGAGAAATTTCTTCAGTTTTTTTTTAATTAAAATAAACAATAATTTTGATTAATAAACAAAACTGAATGCAAATAAAGAAAATTACTACTTGAAACAAGCAAACAGCAAAAAAATTCCTCTTCTCAAAAAATGCCAAAGAAAGAACCAAAAACGCTATACCAGAAAACTTCATAAAAAACATTTAAGAAAAAAAAAAATGAAAAAAAAATTTTTTTCACAATTATTGTTTTCTGTACACTAAAAATGATACCACATAATTCCAACTCAGTCTCATTGAACAGCAACAAAATTAACAACAAAAACAGAAACGGTATGACAGTCGTTGTTTCATTTCTTCATTTCTATGAAAACTTCAAAACACCTAATAACAACTGTGAACAAAAAAAATTCTACAGAAACTTTTATTAGATGAATATAGAACAAAATTTTTTTGACTTTTTTATTTTTTCTTCTTACTGGATTTTCCTTTCAATTATCGTCTAAGAACCTACTTGGAGAAGTCAATTTCGTATGCAACGTTTAAAGCAATTTTTTCTTTCAAACACTTTGTAACTAAGAACTTTTGAAAACTTTAAAGGGTGTCTATCAATCCACTTAGACATCAATATACACATATCTGTATATGAATTGAGATATATATAACAAAATACATAAATTTTTTGATGTAAATATGCATGTGCTTTACGATTATCGCTTATACACGTAATTGAATGAAGGAAGGTCGAGCTGATGCAGCAGAAGAAGCAACAAAAAAAGGATAACTGTTTA